ATAATATGAAATGTATTCAAAAAGAAATTATTCAAAGGTTGAGATTTAATAAAGTGAATCATTTTTACCAGTTCATTTTGATGTCACTGTTAAAAAAGTTTTAGCCGCTATTGATTTACCCCCATCAGGGCAGTAAAAAAGAGAAATAACATCTTGGTATTATTATGAAAATAGTTTTGACCTTGCTGCTTTGTGAAACAATGTCAGAGACCCATAGATGTTCACAGACAATGCTTTGAGAACTACATCCTGGGACAAACCCATTAAATCATGATGTATTTATCTCTTTTATTTATTTCTGGACTTAATTTTCTTGTATTTTGAAGGATATTTTCATATGTGTTGATGAGGGATACTAACATTTTTATTTTGGATCATCTTTCATTTTGTCATCAGAGTTATTGTGGACTCATTATGAGAGTTAGGGAAGTATTTATCTTTTCTGAATTGAGTTTATGTAAGATTGGTGTTATTTCTGTAAATGTTTGAAATAATTTACCAGAAAATTTTATTTGGGCCTGGGTTTTCTTTGGGAATTTGATTGATATTCAGCTTCTCTAATATAGAGCCGTTTAAGTTTTTCTGTTTTTTGTTGTTGTTGTTGGCAAATTTTCTCTTTTGAAGGATTTGCTTCTTTTAAATGTGTTGAATTTATTGGCATAAAGTTATTCATTAAATCCAAAATAATCATTAGTTATCTTTTCATATCTGTTATCATTATTTACTAACATTCCCTCTTTCATTCCTGATATTAGCAAAATATGTTTATTTGTATGTATATATAAATATTGTTTTGGTCATTGTCACTAAGGATTCATCAATAAATCTATTCAGGTTTTGACTTTGCTAATATATATTATCTATTTTGTGTTTTGTTGATACCTACTCTAAATTTTTTTTATATTTTCTGTTTAAATTGCTTCGCTTTCTTGCTTTTTAAAGTGTCTTCTTAGGTCACTGATTTTCTTATACCTTTTTTCCTTATACAGAGATTTAAAGTTATTAATTTCTCTTTAAGTACTTGTAGCTTTATCCACAAGTTTTTGATTTTGATATACTGTGTTTTTATTATGCAGTTAAAATGCTTTCTAGTTTACCTTGTGATTTCTTTTTTGACCCATGAATTGTTTAGAACTATATTTCATTTCTAATTATGTGGGGCTTTTTCTAGTATGTTTGTGTTATGTATTTCTGATTTGATTCTGCTGTGGTCTCCTAACATACTCAGTATTATTTCAGTTCTCTGAAATTTATTGATACTTTTTTTATGGTCCATTCATTTGGCGAATGTTTTCTTGAAAAAAAATACATATTCTGCTGTTGTTGGGTAGAATGTTGCTGGGTAGAATGTTCTATAAATGCCAGTTAGGTTAAGTTGGTTTATGACGTTCATGTTCTTTCTATTCTGTTGTTTTGTCTACTTCTTTTATCAAGTATGTCATAATCTCCAACTCTTGTTGTGCATTTGATTTTATCTCCTTTCAGTTTTATCGGTTTTGCTTCATGTGTATTGATTAGATACATGCACATATAGGATTGTTACATCTTGATGAATTGACCTTTTATCACAATGAATAGTTTCTCTTTGTCCCTGGTAATATTCTTTGCTCTGAGATTTACTTTGATTCTGATAAAGCTACTCCGTATTTTTTTAAATTATTGTATGTATTTTCTCATCCTTTTACTCTTAATCCATTTGTCTTTATATTTAAAATGGATTTTTTAAAGACAGCATGTACAGTCTTGCTTTTTTTTTTTTTATTTTAACGGAGATACCCGGGGATTGAACCTGGGACTTCGCGCATGCTAAGCATATGCTCTACCACTGAACTATAACCTCCCCTCCCGGTGTTGCTTTTGAATCCAGTCTTAAAATCTCTGTCTTTAATTGGAACCCTTACACCACTTATGTTCATTGTAATCCATATATTTGGGTTTAATTTACTATCTTTCTGTTTGCTTTCTGTCTCATTTGTTTGTTTTTTTCCCCTGCTTTTTTGATTATTTTAAATTTTGTGTTTATTTCTACCTTTACTGTATTTCTTTGTTATTTATGCTGATTTCTCTAGGGTAGCAGTTCAGCGAGTATATCCCAAGAACCCCAGGTAGTACCCAAGATTCTTTCAAGGAGTCCCTGAGATCAGAACTATTTTCATATTGATATAAGGTTTTATTTGCCTTTTCTATTGTTTGTTTATGAATGTACAGTAGAGTTTTTTAGAGGCTATGGGACATGTGATGTTGCAGCAGATTGAATGCAGAAACAAATGTTTTCTCTTAAGCCAGATGTTAGAGATTTGAAAAAATGTAAAACAGTCTCATTCTTCACTAATTTTGTTGTGGGAATATAATTATCTTTTATAAAAAATGCTCATTATCTTAACAGTAAATGAATTACAAACTGAAAATTTAAATGTAAATAAAATGAAACAAATAATTACAAAATATTTAACTGAAGTTTTTAAAAAAAGTTGCCATTTTGGAAGATTCTCTAAAATTGACATAAAAGATGACGGGACTGATGATGTCACTAACTATATAGATC